TGCTTTAATTCTGGAACCCTAACATTTGCCAACTTACCTTATTTATTAGATGTATTGTGTTAACTGTCTTGAATTATTATTAAAGACATACCCTTAAAAATCAGAATCAATTTTTGGTACTTTTTTGATAGTGGCACCAATAATTGAAGGTTTATGTGAAATTCACAATTAAACTTTCAAGTGGTACCTCTTGAAACATTTAATAATATTTTTATGATTATCCAGCAAAAGCCTTAGTCAGTGAAGTTGTATTACTGTATTTCACATGACTCAGCTCTGATACATAACTCACCAAAAGACTCAGAAAAAGGGAACCCTGGGAGATTGGATTTAACAGGGAGGTGTGTTAATAATTATCAGCATTCACATTAGAATACACAGTGACCTCAGCAGAAATCCTGGTTGGGTCCTTTCGTACCCCTATGTATGTAGCATATTAAGTCAGAAGACTGAACAATTTTATGCCTTTTTTGTTCCTTTCCATAGAGCTAATTGAATTAGAGTAGTTCATTAAACAGTTGTGTCTCCAGTTCTTGAATTCCATTTATTCACTTGATGTAAGCAATGTGGGGAAAGGAAGAAATGACTATTTTTTTATAATTTGTCATATGAAATCTAGAAATTAGGAATAAAGCATGGCATACTTATCTAACACAAGTACTTTCATTTTAATGCCTGTATATTGAAGGTAAGCTCAAATGTTCACATTGCAAAGAGACTTAAAAATTTACTGATAAAACCAGTGCATCCAAAGAAATTGGTTGAGGGCAGGTTGAGGAGGATCTTGCAGAAAGAAAAAGAAAAAAAAGGATTCATGAAAGGCCAGATCAGAGACAGTGGCTTTGGAAATACTGATACAGTAGAAGGCTCCCCTGATGTTATTTATTGCCTTTCTCCCATTTGTTGAATGGATGTGGGTGATTAGAGAGAGTAAGTACTACGCGTGTCAGGCAACTGGGAAGTCATTATGAAATGTTGGTGAAAGGCTTCTCAGTTAGGCTTGTCCTTGGATATTGTCTGACTTCTTTAGCATGTGGAAGAGGGATAAGGACTAAAGTCTTGTAAGATCCACATTCATGGTTGCAGTGGAATGAAGACCCAATGATGCAGAACTCGGGGAACTAGCTGTATTATAGATACAGGTACCAAGTGGAATGGGCATCAGAGGTTTGAGGCAACAATGGTAGTAAATTCAGGTTTGTCTCTGCTCATAGTTACAGATAAAAATGTGATTTTAGAAGTTAAACAAGACAGTAATTATCTCCAAGCCCTGAAAATTTGTATGGTTAGCAGGTAAGTTAGTTATGGGGGGTTCCTTTAGTTTGAATCAAAATGGGAATATATGGTCCATGGCCAAGGTGTGGCATAGGGAGAATGGCATGCCACCAGAAAATGAAGGCAGAAGCTTGTCATTCAGGCTGGACTGGGAGTGGGTGTTAACAGAGTAAACACAGAAATACTGTAGCTTGGAGAGCATGGAGACCTTTATTTATTTAATTCCGACAGCCTTAAAAAATATTTGTGAACATCTATGATGATTAAAAGGTCAGACCATACACGTAGTGTTTATAATTGTTGCTGACAGTCTTTGGGGAGACATAGAACTGGAGGTATCAGAATTAGTTAAGTGCTAACATAAGAACAGTAACAAAACTATAGATTTTAATTAAAAAATTAACTATTCACAGCTATTGGAGAGTATTGAGTTTTGATGGGAGATAGAGTCAACCTCTTCTGTGGTGGTTTGTTTTAAACAGGTTAAATTTGGTGGAGGTACAAAATATTTTGGAAATGACAAGGGCCAAATGAGGGACAGTGGCTTTGGAAATATGAACAAGTGGGAAATTAACTTTCACAAGCAACACAGACCTTCTTGAAGAGTAACTGAGTACGCAATAAAGATATTACAGGATTTTTAACTCAGATGACTGAGAGGGCAAAGGTGCTATTACTACTTGTAACTCTCCCTTGGTGCATTGTGGAATATTAGATGGTGATTCGTGATGTTAATGTTGGGGTGTGTTGTGGACTTTGTCATTTTCTCAGTGTAATAAGAAAGATTTTTGTTGTTGTTGTTTTCAGCTGAATCAGGCAATTGGAAACACTGCTGTGTTCAGTAGTAGATTAGGTTCTGAGATAAAACTCATTTCTATTTTCAACAGATTTGGCCAGTAGAATTAAAAAGAGGCTCTTTCTGAAAAACCCTAAGAGGATAAAAAGCTTTTCACATTGTGAAAGCTATAGACAATGATTTTAGCCTGTATTTTCACAGTGAGGAGGAACATTGAGGGATCAGATGTCTTCTTTTATGTGTTGTTTATCAAAGTGAAGAAAATGAGGTCATGAAAAGGACAAAAGTTGGACCAGTGCAGTCTGTTCAAAAACACAGTGTGTTAAGAGAAAAGCAGAATTATGTCCCTATGATAAAGCAATGACCCGAGTTTTCCACCCCTCTTTACCTAAGCCCCTCCTTGTCTACATATTTAGAGACGGTCACATATGTTTATAAACTACAAGGAAACATTTGCTTTTGGAATGAGGACAGTCCAGAACGTGTGCCCCAGTGGTGATATAAATCATACATTAGATACGCCATGTTAGGGTTCTAATTTCGCAGTGGTTCAGAGATGGAATGAAAGCCTACGGGCCAGCTGTGCATAAAGCTCCAGTGTTCACATGGCAAACAGACTCCAAATTCTACTGATAAAACCAAACGCATCCAAAGAAATTGGAAGGATGAGGGTTGAGAGAGAACTTGCAGAGGAAAGGAAAAGAGGACTTATGACAGTGTCATCATCAGATACTTATTTCATAAGTAAAGAATTATCATTTTAATTGTATTTTCTTCTTTCATCTTGTCTGACTGCATGATTATAAGGTGACATGGTATCATTTAAGATTGAGAACAAATGAGAAAAAGTAAATAGTAGAACAGCAGAATCTGACATTGGCATTAGGAGAGATGGTTGAGTGGATAGATGCATGTTTATGGAGAAATTTCCTTCCATCAAGAAGGGGACATAATGGAGTGGATTTCCTTACATTCAAGCTAACCCTTTAGTCACACAACTTACATTAGTAACAGTGGGTTGACTATGTTTTGGGATTCAAATATCTGTATGTTTAAAAAGTTATTTATCTTGTGAAATGCCTCAAACATAGAAAAGGGTAAACATAAGTACTTAATACTCATATTGAAAATGAATGTAATAAAAACCCAAGTGCCTCTCACCTGTAGGGAACAAATGTTTTAATTTTGCTTTTTGATTCAAATTTTTAAACAAATGTAACTTGTCAGTTAGAGTTGAAAATCTCCTTCTACCTTCTCCAAACAAAAGTTTGCTTTCCATGAGATTATAAAATGAGCCCTGTTACACTGGTACCTTGGGCTTCCCACATGGTGTTAGTGGTAAAGAACTCACCTGCAGATGCAGGAGACATAAGAGATTCAGGTTCAACGCCTGGGTCAGGAAGATCCCCTACAGGAGGGCACGGCAACCCACTACAGTATTCTTGCCTGGAGAATCCCATGGACACAGGAGCCTGGCAGGCTATGGTCCATAGGGTCACAAAGAGTCGGACAAGACTGAAGCAACTTAGCACACATGCATACTGGTACCTGAGTTTAAATAATTTCAAATCCTTTCTTTAAATTTTAAATTCATTTTAATGATTAAGAAAAAGACACAGGAGTTTTTTTTTTTTAATTAAATGTTAACAGTGTAAACTGTCAAGTGGAAAAAATAGTTTTTAAAAGTTAGTAGTGCTTAGTTCAGTTTTTTTTACAAAAAGGAATTGTTTCAAGTAAGAGTAGGTTGTTTGCCCACCTAATACTTTACAATTTTGTATTCTAGAGAACTTTTTTGGTACTTATGCACCATATATTTAGTTTTCCATCGTGTAGAATTTTGAACAAAGAACTTCAGTGCTAAATTGGTAACATTGATTACTTTGGGAGTTAAAGATTAGTTCGTAGAGAATTTACCCTTCTAAATTACTTTGGTAATATTTAAAATTTTGTATAATGAGCATATATTATTTTAGAATAAAATAGATAAATGTTGAATATACATTTTAAAAATTATCTTCTAAAATATATTAGTACCAATTTCACCTTCTCCTTTTAACAATAAATGTGATGGAAAAGAAGAAATGCATTTATACCTATACATGATATGTATATACACACACATAAATATATACATATATATATATACACACACAATGTGTGCCTCACATATATATATATCTCACTAGTCAGATAAGTATTATTGTATACATATATTGCTCTTTCCATTTATAAAAATTATAAGAAAGTAACTTTTCTCTTTTTGATCATGCTATATCTATAAGAATTTCAGGGGATGCTATTATTTTTTACTTTCTTAAGAGAGAATGTTTTCTTTCTAATCCACAGTGGTTAATAGTTATGATTTTCTCACATTTGATTGTGTTGCCTTGGAGGGGAGAAGTGATTCTCTTGCTAAGTTAAGAAATTAGCAATGTGTTAATAATTTTGACAAGCATACTCTGAGTTATATAACTGAAACCTGTTTATGAGCCATCAACAGAGAAAATATCCAACATAACTGATTTTGGAATCTAATATGTTATATTAATAATCATTTTCTTTTTTCATACATGGTTTTCTATTTCTGGGAGTAATCAAACTTTGAGTAAATCAAAGGCGAAGAATAAAGCTAATGTTAAAAGAAAATTTTCTGTGTTGATTTATAATTTTATATTGCTTAAAATATACTGCTTACATCTCTGAGGTTCATTAGTTATATTTTAGTATACTTAACTATGTATAAATATATAATATATAAATAACATATAAATATATAATATATAAATATATAAATTAAAATTATTTGATCTAGATTTTATGTTTTACATGATGAGGGACATAATTTCAAAAGCTACCAATGCAGTTTTAAAAATGCTTTTGTTTCTACCTTGTTATTGCCTCGCTGACTGTTATTTTATGTTACTTCTAGATGAAAGAGTGGCTCTGTTTAAACTGTCAGATGCAGAGAGCTCTAGGAGGTAACCTGGCTCCAGTTCCATCATCACCCCAGCCCAAACCGAAGACTACCCCTGTTCCTGCATCAGCAGTGAGCAAGCCACCCATGCCATCACAGCAGGTTTCTCCAAAGAAAGATACTACACCCAAACAGGATGTCTCGAAGGTAGCTGAGTCTAAAAAGCCCCCACCACTGGTGAAACAGCCAACCCTTCACAGTCCCCACCCAGTCACATCCCAGCAGCCTCCTGAGGCAGAGTCCTCACCCAAGCCAGCCCCTCCCAAAGAGCCTTCTGTCCTGTCTGAACCGACCAAAGTCTCCATGGCTGTTGATAAACCAGAGCAGCCCCAGACAGGAAAGCCCGCCACAGACATTGTGTCTTCATCAACAGCAACAAGACCGGATATTCCAGGCTCCAAAATACCATCACAGGATCAAGAGAAAACAACTCCTCCTCTAAAACCAGACTCTGCCAAACCTTCTCAGAGTTTTCCACCAACAGGAGAAAAAGTTACCCCAGTAGTTTCTAAAGTCATACCTCGACCTGCATCAGATACAAAAATTATTTCACATCCCGGACCTACTCCAGAGGGCAAAGATCAAAAACAAGTTGATCCAATTCAGAAAAAGGACGAACCCAAGAAAGCACAAACCAAAATGAGTCCTAAGCCAGACACCAAGCCGATGCCAAAAGGGTCACCGACACCCCAGGGTCCACGACCCCCCACTGGACAAACTGCCCCTCTATCTCCACAGCCCCCAAAGCCTCAGGAGCAGTCGAGACGTTTTAGCCTAAATCTGGGAAGTATTACTGATGCCCCTAAATCACAGCCCACAACTCCTCAAGAAACAGTGACTGGGAAACTCTTTGGGTTTGGAGCATCCATCTTTAGCCAGGCATCAAATCTGATCTCCACAGCAGGCCAGCCTGGGTCTCATTCACAGGGTGGGCCAGCGGCCCCAACAAAACAAGTTCCTCCTCCTTCACAACCACCTACTTCTCAAGGGCCACCCAAATCCATGGCACCACCAGCACCTGCAAAGGTTCTACCTGTGAAAAAGGAAACCAAAGCTCCAGTAGTTGAAAAACTAGAGCCCAAAGCTGAACAAGTTTCAACAGTAAAAAGAACAGAAACTGAAAAGAAGCCTCTGCCTACTAAGGAGAGCAAACCTTCCACGGCTGAACCTCAAAAGGTTGTTCTTCCCCCCAAACTGGAAGAAACCCCCAAACCAGACTCAGCCTGTCCTCTCTGCAAAACTGAACTCAACATAAATTCTAAGGATCCTGCTAACTTCAACACTTGCACTGCATGCAAGAAACAAGTGTGTAATCTCTGTGGATTTAATCCTACGCCACACTTGACTGAGGTAAGCAATAGTGGTGTCACATATGGATGTGAGTATATGGTGTTAATTCAGAAGTGTTTTGTAGTCAGTTTCCCTAGCAAAAAATACATTTCTGAGTAAATAAAAACCAATATTGTTATCTTTGACGGAGCTTTAATTTCTTATTAGGCTTGTGCTTTCTTATTAAACATTCATGTAATTTATACTTTTCTGGCTTAATGTACCAAAAAGTAAGAAGATGAAATGAGCTGATAACTTAAAATAATGATTATCCCGTTCTTTTATGAATTAACATCCTATGGCTTTCACCTGAAAACACAGAATAAGAATTGTAATTTACTGTTCCCACTGTCTCTCATCCTTCCAGTTTCTTTCATACATTAAAAAGAGAAGCTTGATTGATTGCAAATCCATAAGCTACATGAGATCTGTTATTTTACAAAAGTTAAGAGCTTAATGTAAGTTAATAATATTGTCTGCTAGAAAATATTGGTTCAAATATATAATACTTAGACTTTTTATAATCCTGTTTAAGCTGTTATCTGGCATAAATATAATAGAGCACTTTATTAGGAACTGTGGAAAGAAAAAGGAGTTATATGGATTTCAGTGACTAATGTCAAGAATTTTTTTTTTAATGGGTAGACCAAAACACTTCTTCCACAGTGTAAAAAGCAGATAACAATTTTCTACCTAATATAGTTACAGAAAAATCAATAAGCATTGACTGTGTTAAGGCTGTTAGAGTATTTGGATTTTAGGAGATTGAGGGGTTGAATGATTGCTGCTTAGGTAAGTAACAGTGATATTTTAATAAACATTTTGGGATTAAACTTAAATCAATGTTCATTATTTATGTGCAAATCAGTAATACTTAAGGATTATTTTATTTCCCCTCCTTGATTTTGTAATTCGTTGACATGCAAAAAAAAAATTGTTTAGTTGGATTTAACAACTGTACAAAAGAAACTTTAGAGATTGTTTTTGAGTTAAATTTTTTAAAAGAATGTTATAAAACTTTTTTTTTTTTACTTTTGAAAGTATTTGGTTGCTTTGACATGTTTAACACCATATGAAAGGATTGTCCCTATACATTTAAGCTGATTTTTATCCTCTTTAACTGTGATGAATAATGTTAACCAGGATCTGTTTTAAAGGTTAAAAAAAAATATGGTTTCTCTCAGCACTTCTTGAGTGGTCACAAGTATAATTATTACTTACAATATTTGGAATTTGGTGCAAGAGCAAAACAACTTTAAATTTCTTCCATATTTTTAGAAGAATTGTTTTTCATTGTGTATTTATGAAGAGGGGAATTTCAGTTTTTCCAGGACAATTGTATTAATTTCATACATTTGAGAAATTGTACCTTTGAATGAAGAGCTTTATGATATCGGTATTTAAATAGTTATAAAACAAACTGCAACACTAAAAACTAAAATACCCGGAGAAAGTGTATTTTGTACACATAGAAGAAAGGGCTATAACGTGTGTGTGTGTGTGTAAACACCTATATGTATGTATGCATTTAGGTCATAGTGATTATTAGAATTCTGTTAAGTGTTTGGAGGTGTGAAGTGAGAGTTCTTGAGAAGAGGGACAATAAATCTCTCAGGAAAATCTTTGATTTTCTGTGGTGGCAAATTATATTTCAGAAGTGGTAATTTTGAAAGGAGATTTCTTGAATCAAGCAGAGAATTATTATCTAGGATGTGTGTGGAATTTTACTAGTTTGAAAATATAAGTGGTTTTAAGTTTTCAAATGGTGCATGAGAACTCCCATTTTAAATACATCAGTGGAATTTAGATAATCTGTCATTGTTCAGATTGTTTCTTTCTTTGGCCATTTCTTTGAATGTGGAAGATCATATTTCAGAGGAGAGAAAAATATGATGTAACAAAAGCAGTTGACTCATGTTCTTGGCTCCACTTGACCGTGTTAATCTGAGGGAATTTTTAGCTGGTCTGAGACCTTAATGCTGTCTGATCTTTAGGTAAAACTCCATTAGCTACCCTGACATCAAGGGAGTGAATGAAGTTTACTGGAGTTAATCCGTGTTGTTGTAGCTCCTGCTGTTTTACCTAGAAGACTTTAGAGGACTGACAGAAGAAACTGGTTGAAAAAGACACCCTGTGTTTGCATGTGTGTGTGTGTGTGTGTATAAATGTACTTGTATATTCAGGAAATTGTAAATTCAATGTATACGTTTTATTTGTTGTGCTGTCCCAGTGTCTCTATTATTAACTAATCTCTCCTCATTGTGAGTGGTTAGAAATATCTCATCCTTAATCCTTGTCTACTTGCTTTGTTTCTAGGATTTCTTTGTTCTGCTTGTGATAATTTTCTTGTGATCCAATATTTTCTGCTGGGCTGGCACTGTACTTTGATTCTACTTTGAGAGAGCACATACTGAAAATACTCAGACTTTAAGCCTACAATGCAGAGAAATGGTACTTCTCAAGAAACAATTCAACTACATACTTCCATTTATTTTTCTAATAAAGGCCATGTAACACTATGAAGCCTCTGCTTCTCCTCCTCTCTTCTCTATGAGACAGGATGTCTTGTCCTCTTGATGCCTCTCTGCCCTCCTCTTTTTCTGTTCTGTTCTAGTGGTGAGAAGAGCTGGTCCTGGTTCTTCATGGGTTGGGAACTATGAACACTGTCTCTGCCCTCCCCATCCATTCATCAGACACACCTGTCTCGAAGGCAGTTTCCTGTATGGCCTACTCGGCCTCTCCCGCAGCACCCGAAGAGTGCCAAGGCTGCCTGCAGGGCCCTGGGCTGTTGCCAGGCTTCAGCCTAAGCCTTATGCTTTAACTGTTTTGTGCCCAGTATGTACACATAGTACTATCATCCATTAACCTCTCATAGTAAGGAATGGTATTTTAGGCTTTAATTTCTGCCAAATCAGGAAATATTTTGTCTTTGAAGGAATTTTATGAGGCAGCAAGGCTTTCTGAAAGAGCTAGTCCTATAGAATGTGGAAGCATGTTGAGAAAAACAGCGTAAATTGGCAATAAATTTACCTAGTGAATTTTAATTATTCCAGGTCAATTTAAGTGCAGAAAGAAGTCAAAGTTACTCATACTGGGTATTTTATTGTTTGTATTGCTCTTTTGGAAAGGAGATTCTTACTATGAAAATGCAACTTAAATTTGTTTCCACATGCTTCAACAAGTCCTAGAGTCATATTTCTGCTTCCTTAGTAAGAATTATGCATGGCTTGAATGATGTTGAAATAGCCAGCATATATTTGTTACCAGGCAACAGATGGGCCTTTTGAGCCGATTAAGATCCAGTAGTGTAACTGAGTTCTCTTGAGATCATTGCTCTGTAGCCAAGGTGACTTCTGCATTCTCTCTCAGACCCTCTCTTGGACCCTTCTCTCTCAGAAGGTCTGGTGGGGGTTTGCTTCAGTTCTTCGTTTAGTAAACAGGTAATATCTTGGTTTAACTTTAAAGACCATTGCTTAAAGTTTAAAAAATATATCTATTACTAAAATATTATGATTTTATAATAATATCTATTACTAAAATAGATATATACACACATACACATACATACATATATGAACAATTAAAAACTAAAAGAATGATCAGAACTCAATAAGGGGAAAATAATTCTACCAATAATCAGTTTTTAAAGAATTCCACGACAGAGATAAATACACATTCTGTGTAAAAATTTCTGGCATCCCAAGAAAAGAGGGACATCTGTTGCACTTTTTGACTAACATGAGAGAACTGATAAGTTTGTAGAAATAAAATTTTTACTTAATAATCTTTGGAAGGAATTTGATATTACCTTTTTATTAAGTGATATTTAATTGAAGAAAAATCCAAAAATGGGTTTAAAATAGAGATATTTTGTTTAAAGAAGTTGAAACAAAAAAGTAGATTCTTCATTAGTCTTTTTCTCTATGCAGTTTTAAGTATTTAGCATTCTGCTCTATGTGATAGTTCTATATCCTGATATTAAGATAGTCCATTTTTAATGTGATTAAACACTTCTTAAATATTACATAAATGGTTACATATTGTTCAATTCTATGGTTCTTTGGTTGTTTTTTTTTATACACCTTTTTTTCTTCATACACATTTCATACACATTTTTTTATACACATTCTCCTAAGTCCTAAGTATTAAGGACTTAGGTTGTTTTCATTTTTTATTATAAATAAAATGAATGTTTTGGGATATAAATATTTGCATTTTTACTGTTTCTCAGACAAAGCTTAGTGGTACTAATGTTACTAAATCAAAGAATAAGAACCCTGAAGTTATCAATTTTTTTTGGAGATATGATAGCAGTTGACATTACCACTAGCATCTGTGATGCCTTTCTTAATGCAGCCTCTCCAAATTTGAATACTATCATTTATAATAAAATTAGTTAATTTGGAAGTTTAAAAGTGCTATCATATGATTCCTTTGATTTGTATTTCTTGGATTACCAGAACTTTTATTTAGATATTAAACGTATATAAATGGTTCTAATTACAATTCAGACATAACATTGTGCAAACATTGTAGGAAGAAGTAAACTGGTATTTGACTAAGTCTATGTGACACCCTTCCCTGTTGGCACAGTGGTAAAGAATCCTCCTGCCAATGCAGGAGATGCAGGTTCGACCCCTTGGTTGGGAAGAGCCCATGGAGAAGGAAATGGCAACCCACTCCAGTATTCTTGCCTAGAAAATCCCATGGACAGAGGAGCTTGATGGGCTATAGTCCATGGATCACAAAGAGTCAGATATGACTTAGTGACTAAACAGCAACAATATGTGAAACACGTTGTATCAGGCATTTTTTTACAACAACCCTGTGGAGTAGATTTTAGAGCTGCTTTGGAGATCAGGAGAATGAGGATCAGAGAGGTAGTTACCAAGCCACAGAGGTATCTTTCAGAGGCTGAACAAATGCTCGATCCCCTAGACCATGTTTAAGTAACATGGGGAGGGAAATGGTGGTGGTTTAGTTGCTAAGTCATGTCCGACTCTTACGACCTCGTGGACTGT